GTGATTGGTTGTTGAGAGGCCTAGGATTAGGCTGGGATCTGTGTAGATGGAAAGGAGTTAGAGTTCGGAACCCCTAGAGGGGTAGAACAGTATGTACGGGAAAGATTCCCAGGAAGGATAGTTCAGGATGATGTATGATAGCTTGAGCGGTCTGGGGAGACTGAAGGCCGGTGGGAATACCAGTCAGGCCGAAGGCTCGAAGAACGGTCCAGATAGGCTGAAGGCCTTGGAGGGGCAGTCCAGACATGTTGAAGGTTATGAGAGTGGTCCAGATTGGCTAAAGGCCTGGTAAGCCGGTATAGTCATGCTGAAGACTCTGTATGTGTTGATAGATTTATATGAGGAGATGGATTGAGTATGTTGTGATGCAATAGCAACCAGTAGGTATAGCCTCGGGTATTTATTACGTTAGTAAAAGGTGGTGTATGGACTTCGATAGCCCTTGTGATCAGATTCAAAGTATATGTGATGCATGGAACAACGGTTACTCTACAAGGGATAGTGTAGAGTGGGGTGTGAGCACCTTAGCACTTATTGTTGTGGCAAGGTCTTCGAGCAGGTTTCCTTAGATAAGGAAAGGGAAGGGTATGTAGCTCCGAGAAGGAGTGTTGGTTCATTGCAGTGGAAGCAGTAGTGTGGATGGATGATTGAAAGTATTCCAATTATGATTATTGAGCATTGTGTTTGTACGAGTGGTATGGAAGCACATTCGGGTTGGGTGTCCGTTGAGGTCGCGGAAGAATTTCCGGTGGTGTAGAACCAGAGGAGTTTGGAAGGTATGCAAGGATGGAGTCTTGAATTTTCAGTAGGGTTGTGATTAGGAGGTTATGTATGCAGTGGTATTTCATCCGGGGGATGTCTAGAGGTATCATCAGTGTTTCGGGTCTTTCCAGCCCGAGGATGTTGGATCAGGTTCAATATGTGTATATGTTTGTAGATGGGAGCTCATAGGAGTTGCTCAGGAGCTGTAGGATTTATCATCCAGTTAGCATGGAAAGAAAGGGTCGTTTCAAGAAGAAATCGGCATGAGTTCCCAGCAGTGCAATTCAATAGAAATAGTGTAGGTTTGGGCAAGGGGTGATAGATTGGTACTGGTTCAGGACCGGTGGTTTGTAATGATATCTAGTTTCTCACGAGGCGAATGAGTGGGAAAATTCGGAAATAAGAATGTATCCTTTGGGTTACCCTAAGTTGATAAGTGCTGTTATCAGTAGGAGAAAGTCAGTAGCCAGTTTGGAGCAGTTTTCAGAACTCTACAGAGAAAGAGTTGGACTCTATGAGATTTGATGGTAGTGTTTGGAGGAATCTGAGTCAGTTGAGATCCGAAGTTGCATTGTGGGATTATTCTTTGGAATTTTGTGCTACAGTATGCTTCGAGGATGAAGCCTAATTTAAGTGGGGGAGAATTATAACATCCCAAGTCAGAAGCAAGAGTTCCAGGGAGTAAACTGTAAATTAAGTCAGGGACTCGACGAGTAGGTCCTATTACTCATCGAGTCTAAGCGGGATTTTGTTACGGGTTAAGTGGCCAACTCGTCGAGTTGGCAGATGGACTCGATGAGTTGGTGTTGAAGGGAGAAAACCCTAATCCCGGAAGTTATACCCTATATAAAGCACATTATAGCCACCCTCAGCCTCTTTACTGCCCATTGGAGTTCCAGAAACCCTAATTAGTGTGTGTGAGCCTCCATTGTTGAAGTTTGAGCTTGGAAGAAGGATTTAAGAGGAGAAAGTTAGAAGATCAAGAGGCTAGCATTGGGAGATCATTGTAGATCCGAAATCTACTCCTTCTTGGGGACATTTCTCAGGTATCAATTCGTTACCTTGAGTTTTCTCCTTCTAGATCCATTCTTGGTTGTTGTTTTGGGAATTTTAGCTTGATTGGAACCCATTTCGGATTTAGAGGTTAGATCTGAAGTTGTAACTTTAGATCTAGGTTAATAGTGAGCTATGAAAGCTTAAAGCATTAGCCATGGGGTTTGATTTAGAGCATCTTAGTCCCAAAAACCTCCTTATAGCTTGATTGGAGCTTGTTGAACCTCGCATGCACGTAAAGTTGGAAACTTTACGTGTGAATCTGGCCCTAGGAGTCCCAGATCTATGTATTGGAAGCAATGAAATGGCCTGAAATCGTCTGAATGAAGATGTTACGTTTGGACTCGGCGAGTCTGGGAGATGACTCGGCGAGTCGGGCTAGATATCATACTTGAGTCGCATTGTAACTCGGCGAGTCACATAGGTAGACTCGGCAAGTTGTATGATGATGGGAAGGAAATCGGATGAACAACTCAGCCAAGTCCGATGAAGATTGCCTTGGACTCAGCGAGTCGGGTCGCAGAACCCCGATCCCTTTCTGTTCAAGCCTTGGATTAGTGTTTCGGTTGGGGACTCAGTGAGTTGGTCAGGATGGAACTCAAAGATCATTGGACTCGGCAAGTCTTGGGGTGACTCGGCAAGTTAAGTGTGTTATGAGAGTTTTCTGGATAAGGGAACTCGGCGAGTCGACTAGGTGACTCAGCGAGTAGAGTCAACCAGGAAGGTTGACTTTGACTTTGACTTGGACCAAGGGTTGACCAGTTTGACTTCAAGCGTATTTTGGTAATTATTGGTTTTTATTGGTTTGGTTATTTGGTAATGATCAGTGGTGGAGTTCGTGCTTGTGGTCGGAGCAGCATGGTCTTATTTCTTCAAGTCGACAGTTGCAGGTGAGTTATCCTTACTATATCGACAGGGTCTAAGGCACCAAGGTCGACCCTTTATCGGATGGGAATCCAGGTAGTTGTTGTTATGTTATTGCTTTGCTATGCCTGCAACCTGGTAGTTAGGATGGTATAGATTAGAGACCCGGTTAAGGTCGGTATCCTAGTATATAGGATGATGCTATGTTAGCGATCGATTAGGTCAGAATCCTTGTTAGGATGTTGATATGCTATATGATCTGTTAGACTGTCTATCTCGTTAAGGATTGTTATGTGATTAATTGTTTTATGTGCACATTTTTGTTTGACACGGGTCGGGTTGAGGCGGTCCTGCTTTATGCTGTAGGCCAACATGCCCAGGGCGGACCGGATATTCTGAAGGCCCAGCGAGCGGTCCGGATAGGCTGAAGGCCTTAAGAGGGCGGACCAGACGTGCCGAGGCTCGGAGAGTGGACCAGGCTGACTGAAGGCCCGGTGCGGGCGGACTAGTCATACTGTAGACTTAGAGAGTAGACCAGGTGGATTGAAGTCCTGGTGAGGGCGGACCAATCACACTGTAGACTCGATGTATATGGCTTGACTCGGAGGGTGGACCAGGTGGACTGAAGGCCCGATGCGGTGGACCAGTCACACACTAGACCCAATGTGCATGGTTGTTCTGTATTGTGATATGTTATGAGTATGGTTATATGTGGTTGGTATTTTGGAGGTAACTCACTAAGCTTTCGGGCTTACAGTTCAGTGTTTTGTTTCAGGTACTTCAGGGGATCGTGGCAAGGCGAAGGCGTGATCATACAACTCCTCATGTTTATGATATGGTTCTAGGAAATACTCTGATGTTAAACTATTTTGAAAAAAATGTATGAACTTAATGGTTTTTTAATGAATTAAAATGTTTTAATTTGGCTCAAATTTTATGGTCGTCACACATGAACCAACCACCTCGAAAAATTCTCATCTACCATAGGGCCTCTACCCAACGGCCACCTTCCGTACAGACACTCAACCCTTCGTGAATGCGTACAACATGCATTAAGTCCCTCGGAAACTTACCTTGACCACCAATAACCCTGGTCTCATAGTGCATGTCTCTATCCAGCTCCCTAACCGTTCTTGAACAAAGCTCTTATCCTTTCGATAAAATACTAGGTTCTCCCCCTTTCAGGGTTCGAATCATCACCAACTGGCGCACCAATAATCTATTCTACAAACTGTTTCCCTCAGGAACATCACACTTACCCTTAGGAGGTACTTTGCAATGCTCAATGTCTCCCCGATAGAGACCCCGCAACTCCAAATATCTCGAATCTCAGATGAAATCCTCAAAAACTTCTCATCATAATTGCCTCTAATCATACAGAATCTCATGCCATCCCATTATTGGACACCCAAACTGTCCAGTAGGAACTCTGGCTCTTAATCTAAAAATAATGAATTGTTATATTCCTCATCCTCGACTCCTCAACCAACCTTCCATCACATGGATTGTAATAAGGGTGGATACCTCATTACCACACTCGATACTCATCATAGACACTAAGAGCCACCGCCCCAATATCCTCTTCTTGATCATCCGTCGCTACAGCTAATACATTCCCTAGTATGCTCAAATAGGGTGTATCCTTGTCGTTAATCATCTCAGTCCCCACTAACAGCCTGCTCATGCTCTATCATTACCTCTCGGCAGACATACTGCCCAAATACTCTGATGGAAGGCCGCCATCAATGCTAACCCACAAGGTTTTACCCCCAAGCTCAAAAACCAAAATCTCAACACTTCTTATATTTCCCACAGGAAACGGAAATTACACCACTCAGGTTATAGAAGATGACATATCCACTATCAGCTGATTGCACTACTAGAAAAACAACCTTTTACGATGCTCATTGCGTGTTGTAAAAGGCTCAGACGACGCGCAAATGCGCGTCAAGGAAGACCCTGTCATAAAGAGAGACGACGCGCTTTTGCACATTGTCTATAGACGACGCTCATTTACGACGTGCAATTACGACACACGTTTACAACACACAATGCTTATCAAGGAAGGCCTTGTTATAAAGAAAGACGACACGCATTCGCGTGTCGTAAACTTACGATGCGCGTGTTAATGACACGCAATGCGTATCAAGAAAGCCCCTGTCAAGAAAGGTCATGTCATAAATGAAGATGACACACATTTTTGCGTATCATAATTTTAAATGATTAAAACAACATTATTTATAGATTTACTAATTTTCAAATTAAATTTGTATTTAATGTCTCATAATAGAAATAAAACACCATATACAAAAATACAATTTATTGCATAAAATTTAATGTCATATAATTCTATTTCTTACAATATATAAACTTGTATTCATCTAATCTACTCCGTGTTTCTTACTAACAATTAGAATGAAGAATGCAACACTTGCATTTGCAGCATCTTATCTCTTTCAGCTTGAGCTTTATTTTCCTCTTCTAGCTCCAGAGCTATTCGCTTTCATCATCAACCATGTAAACACAACACAAAATCACTTGTCATTTTCATTCTACTTTTAAAATTAATTCTTAATATTCTACTTTGAATACAAGATGTTACAAATCAAGAAACTTACACAAGTTTTCTGCATCATCTGAGTATATATGTAGTCATCAACTCTCTGCTTTGCAAAAGCAACCTATTTCACATCAAATTAAAACTGATTTTAATCAAATTTGTATTATAAAAATATTAATCTTATTTTGATAACTAAAAGTTGCAATTTTTTTAAAGGAATAACCACCCAAGTGAATTTGTCTATGTTTGTTTTCCCCTTTCCCACCATGAACCTGCAAGACACGAGACATCAAATAAATCAAAACTAAAAGAAATTTTGATTTTTTTTCCTTTGAGTAACGATTAACATTTAACAAAAAAACAAAAGGGTTGTGAAGAACACTGGTTTTATCTACATAAACAAGATCACCATATTGAGCAAGAGAACCTGATATGACAGAAGGGTCACATGTCATGAGTTGACCAAGGCGTTCTTCAATCCATGAAAGTTTCTGTAAGTATCAATAAATAAATTTCAAATAATCATATATTCTTTTTCAGTTGTCCCAACATATGTAAAAAAATCATCGGTTGAAACTGCATACCCCACTTAGTGAATAATGTGTAGCAATGCCACATGCAACAAGTTCAGCTCCATTAAGCTTTTCTCCAGTCAAAGCCAAGAATTCACCTACAAAAACACAAGAAAAACAGAATTAGGATTTAAAATTCCGAAGGGTTAAGAATATTTTATTCTTGGAAATGATGAAAATAAAAAATAATGAATTAAGAGTTGGATTGAAACCTAAATAACCAAGGAGATGAGAAAGATAAAATGAAGCCCATGCATCTGGATGGAATCCCATTTGAACTTAAGGAGTTGCAAACACCTACAATTCAATTCGTGAGGTTAATTTTAAAATTATAGAAGTAGCCAAATGCAATAAACAAAATAAAAGAAAAAGAATTAATCTATGCATATTGGGTGGAAAGTGAAATATGAAGTGGCTTAACGAATTGCTAGAACTGTATTGACAATTAGTCATTGGTGTCAAGTAAAATTCAAAGTGAAAACAACAACCAGAATTCAAGGGTAAATTAGTCAAAAATTTTAATTTAAGAGAAGTAGCAATGTACATCCTCTCTTTCAGGCTCGATTGCGGCCTTTGCTTTAGAAAATGTTGAGCTCCATTCTACATATTCGGTTCATTGCAATGGCGATTGCTTCATGGGCTTCACGGGATATAGCCCCAAGAGACATGCCACCTGTACAGAAACGCTCAACGATTGAAGTAGCAGATTCCACCTTTTCAACTGGAATCAGGGATCGTTCACTTTTAAATTCGAAAAGATCCCGAATCACCTGGGGTCACAAATTGGAATCACAACTATCAGCTATATGTTGTCCTTCATATTTACATTCTTACAAACAGATATATATATATATATATATATATATATATATATATATATATATTATCATTTATTATTTAATATATTTATAGTTACATTAACAGGTCCGGGTTCTCTCTCTGAATAAACTGAATATGTACTCTCACGCTTTTCACGCACTGCTTTATGAAGTAGTTTTGACATCTCCGGGTTCTCTCTCTGCAAATACAAAACTGAATATACTTACCAGAGTGCTCCATGAGCATCAACAATGTGGTTCCCACCTCCACCACCACCACCACCACCATTGTTAATGGAACCCATGATCGATTGAGGTTAGTTCTCTAAACTAAATGGTAGGAGTTGGAAGGGTAATATCAATGCATCCCGTTTACTTCAGTAGCAGGGTACGAGGTTGCACCATGTGAACTCGCCCAAAGGCATATAAATGTCAAACAAAAACATTTGAAATGTCATATATATGTAGGTTGTACTAAATTTTAGGAAATACAAGATATTTATAATTATTAATCACAATGCATGGTACTTATAACTCCAACTAAAAGTTTCCAATTAATGGGTTACTATTTTTGATCTCATAAAGCAGGTTATTTTTTTTAGCTTTTTCCCTAGTTGAAAATGGAAAAGTTTGATTCAAGTGACAACATGCTATGAAAATAACAATCAAAAGAAGTAACAGATGAGCCAATATCTCACTTAGAACCATGAAGAACAACACTCAAATGGAGTAACAGGGAAAGACTCCGTTGAAAATCATGCTAGGGTAAGAAAAATGATAAAGAACAAGCAAATTGAGATTTGAGAACAATCACGCGCTTCCAGGTACTAAAAAGCCTACAATTACAACTTTTGATAGAAAATACCTAAAATACCCTTTCATATTTTGGCCTTCCTTGCATATGTGAACTTTAATGGAATGGGGGTCTAGCACAACATAAACTTCTACTGAATCTAGTGTTATGTATTTTACCTAGCATGTTACTTTCTTAATTAGATGATGCCAATCAAAGAAATATACACCTGATGAAAGCTTTCAACAACCTTGAAGGGTGTAATGATATATGTATCCTATTTACATTAGGCCTAGCTAACAAGAAGAAACTGTGATGCCACTGAAAATGCTATGAAGTAACTGTTTTTTTTTTGTTGCCTATTTGTAATGAATAGAAAGACTGACCGTGACTGGCAAATGAGTTGCAGATTGCATGGAGGTATGAATCTGAATACCATACACATTAGAAGAATTGTGGCTCCCATTGACAACTTTTTGCTTCATCTTTTGTAGTTTTATGTCTCCCATTGACAACTTTCACAAGTAAACTTATGATGAATACCTATTTGAAAATTTTGGCGGGCTAATGAAGCTGCAGTGGCATCATGCACACAACAAAAGAAAATTGAAGAACTAGAAGCACAACTTCAGGAAGCTAAAGACATTGTAAAAGACCTCAGGGAAGAGTTGAGAGCAGTTGAAGCAGAACTTGAGAGGTTCCCAAGAAGCAAACAAGTAAAGCATCATGTACAAGTAGACAATGCATCAATTCCTGAACCCCCTGTTACCGAAGTACAACCCAATTCAAAAATTCATAGACTTTATAATTCTTTATTTCCTTTAAAGAAATCTTTAATCAACAACAGGGATTTACCTTCTATAATCTTGAGAAGCAAAGAAACCGAATTGCATATAAACGGGTGTACTCAAAGAATCCGAGCATGCGAACGGACCCCACCAGAAATAGATGACACAAAGCCCGAGTCAATTGTCAAAGAGGATGAAGTAGTTGATAAATTACGTATAACACCCTCTGTGGAGGAGAAAGAAGTAGTAAAGGAGATGGATCTAACGGCTGGTAATTCATGATTGACTTCTCCAACTTCAGTCAAACTTTTAGAGGAAAACTCTGACAAAGATTTAGTAAGAACGTGTAATGGTGAAAGCAGAATTATAGAGAAAGATGGAATAATACAAGCACAGAAATGGAGGTTGATCCACCATTAAAGAGTTTAGAAACAAAGGTTCCAAGTCAACCGTTGACTGATAGAGTTATCAAGTACACGTTTCAGAGGAAGAGGAAAAGAGGGGCTTTGATTAATGGAAGTGGTTCTAGTGAAAGAAGTGAGGAGGGGTCTGGAAAGGTGAACTTGAAAGGGGAATCAATATGCTTACAACATCAGTAAGTTGATTTAACTCAGGTTGGTGATCTATAAATACAAGCTCCACTGTAATCTTAAACACCATGTTTCTCCAAAATACATGTGGTGGAGTTAAATTATAAAAAACACAATAAGTTGTCATAGTTTTTGTGTTTTGTGTCTTCATGTGTATTCAAAGATGACATTTGATTAGGCTTCTTTTTTATGCAGCTTGATAAAGCAAGATTATTGAAGCTTGAGGAAGAAAGATATTTGAGCCATTGGTAAAAGAACAGGTAAAAGCAATGGGACAGCCATGCTGGCATCCTGAAAGACCAGTGATATTATGATATAATTGCAATAATTAAAGAGAAATGGATAATAACAAGTAAGTACCTTGTTGTTGAAAGCCATATATATATATATATATATATATATATATATATATATATATATATATATATATATATATATATATATTACCACGCGTCTGTATAGCATACCTGGAACCTGATCAATACAACTTCAACATACTTTGTAGTATTAACAACTATTAAAACCTCAAACAAAATAGTAACAGACCGATAAGCTTTATCAGGCGAGTACTGATGCAAGATGTAAAGTTCTTAACTCAGAAAAAATAATGCAAACTAAAACCAAAAAAGACAATAATTAATAGCACTTTGCATACCGACGCCTACACTTTATCATACTCTATTGACACTTGTTATCTTTGCACCCAATTAACAAAAGTTTGACCTGTATCTGGTTAACAACTTAAGATACGTTAACATATAACAATGGAACCAATACCCACATAAATCATATAGACATACTAACATACAACCAAAGACACAACAGCATCTACCTTATTTAAGAGTTTCATAGTTCAAGTTCCATGTCCAAGAGGCACAATAACGTAGATCCAGAGAGAACATTACCAACACACATAATATATACTTACCTATAAATGTAATCAAAATTTTAATCAGGCTCACAATAAGAAACAAAATATTAACTGTAGCAAAAGAAATAAAATTAGTATAACACACACTTATCAAATTCTTAATCAGTACTCAAAATCAGAAAATTTTTAATTAGACCTCATAATAAGAAACAAATTTATGGGTAGACAAACCATTGTTGGGTTAATCGGTTGGTTCAACGGGTCATGGGTCGGATCTAGTTCATGATCCAGGAGTGTTTGATTGAGTCATGCTGAAATAAAGGGATTATACCCATGTTCTAGAAGGTGGACAACAGAAAATGGTCAAGTTGACCAAGTTTATAGGAGATACGAGATTAGCATGTGCATGTTTGTTTTCTTAATTATAAATAGGTGTTATTTTCCTTTTGTATTTTCACCTTTTTTCATCAGCATAGTGAAGCTTCTGCATATTCTATTGTTGTAACTACGTGAGAGTGTGTGTTGTGTGTGTGTTTTCAAGGGCCTGTGCCAACAACCATTAGAGAAAAAAACGCAGCAAAGAAAATAGAACAAATAATACATACATGTGGAAGAAGATCATTCTGATGGAGAAGAAATCAACTTAATATTAAGTAGACTTGGACCAGAGATCGATGGTGAGACCTGTAATTACGTGGTTAGTAAAAACCGAAGATCAATTGAAGTATTGTGGGTATCAGCGAACACTATTGAAGGTGAGACCCTAACCTGAAGTTCGGCCAGTGAGCGGTGGTTTCCTACTTCTTGTTGAAGGTGACGGAAGCACGAATATAATCAATCAAACTATAATTTTAGAAAAGGATTTTTTCAATGAAGGGATGGGAAATTTCTTTGGCTGTCGATTTCAACTTTCATGGAGGGAATGGAAATTTTCGGCTGGAGGGAAAGGGGAAACGAGCCCTAAATATTGCGAAGTAGTTAGGCTGACCTGAAGCAAGGATGTGTAGAATAAAAAATAAAAAACCCAAATTAGATGTGTAGAATCCATTACAACCAAGTGAGGAATTTATCAAAATTAAGTGACACTGTGCTTAAATGAGGGATAATCGACCTGGGAGGTTTTTGGGTATGACGACGACATAATCTTTACATCCTTGAGGCTTCTCATCTCCAATAAGGGGTTGTATTTGTGATTCAGTAATTTGTCACGAGAAGAGGTGTCGATCATGTCAGAGTTGTCGATTGGGGTGGCGATGGCGATGACCCAATCGGTGTGGTCCCTCATCGTGCCGCGGTGTACCAATGAGTCCGCCATTCTTTTGCTACTGTAAGCTCCTCTCGGATGATACAAGAGGCTGAGAAGAAGCGAAGGTTAGAGATACCCCCATTTTTTTAGGGTTCATTGGTAGAGGATTGTAGAAGGAGAAGGAGATAAATGGCGGGGTGTTTAATTTTTTGGTATTTCATTTCCTTGCTATTAAAAAAAATGGAGAATGCGCCCCTTCATTAAAAAATATAAAACGACACCCTTTTTTCTTTAGGGCCCTCCGTGTTTTTTTTAGACACTAATTTAAGAGCACGCAAAAATGCGTGACCTCTATCCTTCAGTTTTTGGAAACCTGACATTATTTTTATGGACACACAATAATGCGTATAGTAAATCTACGAGTGTCATTGTTTGCGCGTCACTAAAGGATATTTTTCTTGTAGTGTTGCTTAACTCATGCCGCAATCCTCCATAAACATCATCTCTGCTCATCCTTGAGTCCTGCGACTTCATCTGACATCTCACTAAAATACCTTGGAATCATCTCAACTTACCTCACAAGGGCTGCTTTGTTGGAACTTGTTCCACACCGCCTTCTAACCTCATACTATATCCAGTGTTGCAAAACTCGGCCTACTCGGCCAATTACTCGGAATCAGCCCTCCACCAAGGCGAGTAATGTCAACTCGGTCAAAAAAACTCTGATTTAATCAAAATTGGCCAAAAATCGGTCAAACTCGATCAAAAATCAGACAAACTCGGTCAAACTCAGGCCTACTCGGTCTGACTCTGGCCTACTCGATCAAACTCAGCTAACTCGGTCAAAGGGTCAAAATTGTCATAAAAAGAGAAAAAAATCAAGAATTTCATGATTAATATGTATAATGCACTTAATGATTATTATTTAACATAAACATGTGATTATTACTACATATATATATCTTAAATTTTCAGTACTTATCCACGTAGTGAGACAATTATGTGTATTTCAATTTTTATGTATTCACATGTATCTAATTTTGGTTATATATTTCAACCAAATTATGATTTTAACTTATGATTTAGACATAGATAATTTTCCAAAAAATATTTCTACATGAGTTATCGAATCCGAGTACTCGCTACTCCCCAATCGGTCGAGCAGGTACCGAGTAGCGAGTTCTACAACCTTGACTATATCGCATCCGATCTCGTTCTATCCAATCACAACGGAAATACTGGTAGAACCAGTAACACTAACTGCCATTGCCATGGTACTCGAACCATGTGGCCACCTCTCGATCTACCATAAACCATGGTACTCGATCCATGTTCTCTCTTCTCAGTCTGCTACAAAGCAAGGTACTCAAACCACGACATCCTAATCAATCTATCACTTAGCATGGTACTTAAACCATGACATCACCAATTGATTTGTCACTTAGCATGGTACTCGAACCATGACATCACCAATTGATACGTCACTTAGCATGGTAGTCGAACCATGACATCACCTCTCAATCTGCCACTTAAAATCTCCAGAATACTCCCTGCATCAAGTATGGGTCCTCTGCTTTCAGTAGTACGGGCCCATAGTACCTGTCACATCTACCCGTACTTTCCACACTAACCATCCCAGATTTCCTAAGTAGTTTCACAAACTCATCAATCATCAATCCCATCATACCTGCTCCCTCCCTTGCGAATACTCATCCTCTATCAGTATACTCATCTGACAAAGGTCACTCTTTAGGCTCTTCTTAGGTTCTCACACTTCTCCTCCATTGGCTGCTGAAGAACTCCTCATGATTCCAGCCATCTTCCTTTTGAATATCGTCATATCGTCATATTCACTTAGTAGCTAACTCCCATCATCAAGAGTTCCACAAAGCATGAAGCTAGTAGCATTCGGGCATCGAATATTCTCTATCAACACGTATAACCACTCTAGGTTACAACTCCGTTTGCTATCCTCGTACTCAAAAGATATCACCGAGCTCAAGCAACTCCATCCCTCATAGGTATCTGACTACTCTCTCATCAGGCTCCTCAAATGCTCATCTAGGCATCTCTCCTAGATTACTCCTCTACTCAGATCCCTCTCTAAAAAGGATTCCTATTGGATACTCTTACTCCGCACATACTTAAAAGCAAATCACAGATAGCAGTAACTCCTAGGCTAAAGCATCAAAATCAGGCCACTCTAGTCCTAACATATGAAATACCTAGC